CCTGTCGCGCCGCGCGACATCGCGCTCCTCCCCCACCCACGTACGCGTTCTCTCTCACCTCGGTCTCGGGCACATCTTGGCGTTGAGGTTAAGTATCGACCCTATCGAGGTAAGACGTCCCGCATTTAACCCGCTGCTCGGTGCACGACGACTGAAGGCACCTCCACCGCGACGCCCCGGGCCCCTCCGGTTCTCGCTCTCCCACCGCGTGCGTCTTGCACGTAGCGACGCGCAGGTAGCGCTCAGCCCACGACCGATGTGTGTATTATATGTGCTGTACGCGCGCGCGCGCGCGTATGTGTTGCATGTGCCAGCAGGCGAGCGAAACACAGAGAGAGAGAGAGAGAGAGAGAGAGAGAGAGAGAGACAAAGAAAGAAAGAGAGAGAGAGAGAGACAAAGAAAGAGAGAGCCTTCGTCCGTGCTGCTGCCGCACTCCTCGCGGGATCGGGAAGTAGCGGAGTTGGTGCCGTGTTCGCCTCCCCTTCCTCGCCGCCATACCACTCAACCCTCCACTGCCCCACCTCACGCACCGTCCCCGCGACTAATGTACAATTCGATTGCCCTCGCACTCGTAAGCAATGGCCCCCCGATGGTCTCCGTTCTCCTTCTGCCCAAAATATTTCTGCTTCGAGCCGTCCAATTCCAAAATAATAATCATCTTATTGCTTACGAAGAAGCCAAGGTCTCCAAGTGTTGCCTTAATTATTAATTTCTTCATTTTTTTTCCTTTCTTTTTCTTTTTTTCTTTGTTTTTTTTTTTTTTTTATGCCAACCGTGTATTAAATGGATATAACTTTCATAATCAGACTTGGCGACATAACGCTCAAACGTGTGTTTATCTTGGAAAGTGCGGCTAAGTTTGTTTGTGGGCACTAAAATATATACTCAACGCGTTGATTTTATTATTCTGAGAAATGGAACGGAGTTTTATGCTCAATCGCCGTTCATTGTCTAAATAAAAGCAAATAATTGACGAGCTCACGCACGCCAACACGCGGATTTTCCATTTTCTATTTTGTAAACAATTGCTAATATAAAGTTATAGGCCTGGACATTCCAATGTACGCACGAAGCCGAAAAATTTCATACTATAAATGGAAAGGCCATATCGGGGCTGGGACATGATAATTACATAAGTGCATTCGATATATTATGGGCAAGTTAATGCTTTGATTATAAATGCGCGTGTAATGATTAATGCGGGATAGCAGCTGAGCAGCTAAATAAGATAAATTAATTTCATGTATAATTTACGTCCGTTGACAAAATCTCTCTCTATATACCGTAAAGAGGAAGATTGTTAGGATACGGAAGATTGTGTGTATAGAATTATTAGCGTTGCGTTAATGATGCATTTTAATAATTTGAAGAAGAAAATAAAAGTGAGAGAGAAAGAGAGAGAGAGAGAGAGAGAGAGAATAAATAAATAAATGAATAAAAATAATAATTACATTAAATTTATTCATATTATGAAGTTGGATTATAATACAAAAATTACATAGCTTGCATAGAAATGTATTTTCGTGAAATAATATCTACAAGCTAATGATATTCATTGAATTTATCAAAGTATTATTAATCGCGTCGTTTATTACTTAAATGTAAATCTCTACATTACCCACATTCACTCGCGCGACATTGCAGTTGCCGATTTCTCGTCCAATGAACACACATAGACGAAATCGTTGCTATCTATCGTTATTTCAATGGCAAAGCTTGTAATAATGTTTCTCTTATCACGGATCATGAAAGTCAGGCACTCCCCTCTTTTTTTATTCTTTTTTTTTTTTCTTTTTTTCTTTAACCACTATATATCCCCTTCGCTTTCTCTTTATCCCCATTCTATTTTCTCTGTGTGACTATTGCTGCGCCACAAGTTTCAATAGATTTCAAAGCTCAATGGGCCACACTTGTACTGCAGTCATGATATTTTCTTCTGTCCTTTAGGAATCTCATTGCTACTCATTCGGCTCTTACGATGAATGTTCACCATTTACCATAAACATACGAATAATTAATATGTATTTTCGGATATTATTTCTTTGCCTAAAGAACCATCGTGCAGCAGTTGCCTTTTTTTTTATACTATTATTATTATTATTATTAATATTTTTTTTTTTATATTTTATTTTTATTATTGCTTTTACGTCGTCGACTTATGCGACAACTACTAACGTGAGCAGTACAATATCCAAGTTAAAAAGAAAAAAAAAAAAAAAAAAAAAAAAAAAAAAAAAAACATTGAAAGACATTACGTTTTATTTTTTGCGTAAAAAAGTAAAAAACCAAATATATTGAATTTGACAATGTGAAAAAGAAAAAAAAACAGAATCACCGATTCCTATCGATGAATGAGATATATTCATTTTTTTTTATTTTCGTTCAACTGTTATTCGTTTCCTTTAGGTAAAAATGAAAAAAAAAAGTGTCTCCTCCACTTTCAAATTATAAGTATTTTAGATTTATGTGTATGTGGCAAATTTTATATTAAATATTTATATAAATAAGGTGAATAAAAGTTAATTAAATTCTCGAAGAAGCGCATGGATATTGAAAATTAAAATATAATTGTATCAATTAAAAATGTTTAAAATGTGTACTATCGCACATTAATCAGTTGAACTTATAAAATCATAAGCCATTTAATACTTTTACGATACATTTATAAAAAATGGAAAATAAAAGTCTTAAGAAGAAAGACATTTAGCATAGTTCTTGAGTTATGATTTATTATATGCGAGGAAAATCGCTCGTAATTCTTATTCATTCAATAATGTTCGATTAAAATTGAAAGTATATTTTATAAATATTCTAAGTAAATAAACATAACAGATAAATATCATTCCTACATAATAATAATTGTTTAAAATTGTCGGGGGATGTGGGAAGAGGATAAAGAGTAACGCGAAGGTGCATGCTAAACATGAGACAAGCATACAAAAAGGCGGGCGTACACGCTTTTTCACAACATTTAATAAAACACTATAAACTATGTATGCTTTTTTTTTTACTCAAATGCTCTAAAAGTTACTTACATACGTGTATTCTATATGTATTATTTTCATTTTATATTTATATGACGTATGGAGGTGTCACGTCCTTCGCATCTTATAACACATAATAATGCAGAAAGTCGATTGAAATCGCCCATCGCCAACATTTTCTATGAGCGACATCATCGAACCAAGCCAGTATTTTCTCCACTACACCTTCAATAATTTTACATAACCTGCGATAAAAACAAAAAAAAAAAAAAAACAAAAAAAAAACAAAAACATCCTATCACAGGTTGCAATCTTGTGTAGATATAATCGAAAGAGAATAACGGAAGTGTTTCGCCGGGAAAAGCACTCGGGAACTGACACGTCCGATATTATATATATAATATATATATAATATGTCGTATGTATAAATTTAACACTATCATATTATTATTTCATCTTATGCTTGTAATAATCTACTTGAAATAATCAAGGATTTTAGCAATCAACGTCCCGGGATGCTAAATACGTTTTTATTTAAAAACTGTCGCTACTAGCGTCGCAAGGGCGTGCTTAAAACAATGAAAGCAAGGCAATCGATCGATCAATCTTTCGATTAGAGTTTAATAATTTATTTTACGTGGTTCGCAACCACATATACCTAGTGCATTGATAAAAAATTTTTAAATTTTACTCATAACACGAAAAGTCAATAAAACTTCTCGATCTTATGGTCCTCTAAATATCTTTATACTGTAAAAGTTCATTCAAAGAAATACTCGTATAAACGTAAACAAAAATAATTCTTTTAATAGGTAATAAAGAAAAACCAATTAATGATTTTTGTTTTGTTTTGTTTTGTTTTTTTTAATATATAAATTTTGATTGACTTTTTTTTTCATTTTTCTTTTTTTTTTTTTTTTATTACGAAAAGATAAAATAAAATTTCCTATGCATTATTAATTAAATAAGAGAAATTGGTATTCTATAGATTATAGAACGTACATTAATTAAGTGAAACTATAAATTGATAATTAAATTAATTTAATCGAGGAAAGAAACAGTGCCAATTAATTCACCCAATCGTCTATAAATTTAATTTTTCATTTTTTATAATTATTGTGTAAACTGCATTCTAAGCTGATCCCATAATGTTTTTGGTCACAACCTCGTTGAATCTCTCGTATATTCACACTCGGGCTCATACACACGGGCACGCACACTCGCAAACACCTGCGCGCATATATATATATATATATATATATATATGCGAGCGCGCGCGCACGCACGCGCACAATTTTTTTTTTTTTGCTGTTTTTATTTATTTTTTTTTATTGACAATAATTTGTCATTTTACAAAGAAGTTTTTCAATATTCTAACAGGCTCTTCATAAATGAAAAACAATATTTTTATGAAAACATCATAATTGCTCGTTATCGTAGTGCACTCTTACGCTATATAATTATAGAAATGTTCGTAGTGCAGCGCCAACGGCCTTCATCCCGGGCGGACGCACCTTTTGAAATTCCAAGAAACCTTGAAAATTAATTTTCGCACATTTCGCCTTAACTTTAGGCATCGCCATCTATATATTCTCAATGATTAAATTTTAAAGTAATTCGACATACTTTCACAAATGAAATTATTCTATCCTTTACAATTTTCATATGTTTCAAATCATTTAATAATAGACGACACTTTTCAAGATTCCTTCAAGGTTACTTCATTCGTAGTAGAAGATTTTCGCGTTTGATATTCATCTAAAGATTCGTCTATGCCTGAGATTTCGCGAACGATGCGATCGACAGCGCAGCTTCCGAAAAGACTTTAACGATCGACGCGAAACTCAGGCTCTATACCACATTTTTCTATTCACGGTTTTGAAGTGAAAAACAAGAATCTTTCGAGCGATACTTTACAATCCGAAAATCCGCGGAGAGTATAAATATACGTAAGTAATGTGCATTGCAAAGCCGATGAAAAAGAATGAAAGAAAGAGAGAAAAAAAAAGAAAAAAAAAATTAACGTAATCGTAAAAATGTGTAAGAAACTCATGGTTTTATTTACTTCAACTACTCGACATTTCGTAGCTTTAACTTCTTTACGTCATAAAAAGTCCACGACCATTACAATGTACTACAATTACTTAAATGTAAAACGATAAATATTAACCTAAACAAATATTTAGTTTTAAACAATTGTTATTATCATCAGATTATAATCAGGACTAAGCACTGATACTGTCATTTAAGAAATCACTTCCGAGTAATAAGAAATATGAGCTTTATGCACACTGACACGAGCATAAATATTAATTGTATTATAGTGCCGAGAAATGAACAACTGATTGCAATAAAAATACAAACACTTTTTAGCTTTATTAAGATTACAAACATCATTATAAAAGAATATTAATCGAATTCAAGGATATCCATAAATCTCGTGGCGTTTAAAGATAACGAATATCGCTGTAAAGAGGCCAGTGAGCACATACGTACTTGCGATCGACGGACCGCCACTTAACCGATTTCGATCTCGCGCTTTACGGATTAATTCGATGAAAAGTGGCTGGCGACAGCAAGTCCTGGAATTCCACGCTCCGAAGAGACAAGACGCTCAAGACGCTCGGAAAGCTTACTGATTATCTATCCTCAAACATCCCATGTCCATCTAAGCAGACACAGTCTCGACCATGGACTTTTTAATGATTTCGCCAAAGTTTTCGTCGCAATCGTCGTCGGCCAGTTGCATTTGCTGCTGATCTCCGCCCAGCAGCAGCTCGTCCTTCACATCCATCTTTGAGCCGTTCACGTGATAAGCCTGGTGATGCTGTTGCTCTTGATGTTGTTGCTGCGGCTGTTGATCGACCACGTCCTCGTAGTAGGAATACCTAGATGATAGTAGCTCGGAGAAGGGCTCGAGCTTGCCGATCTGCTGTACCACGGAGCTCATCGGCTGCATTGTGCTGAGATTTGTGTATTGCGAGCCCGTCACCTCGTCCTGGGCGAAAGACGTATCGTAAATGATACCACTGTGCTGCTGCTGCTGCTGCTGCTGCTGCTGTTGTTGTTGTTGTTGTTGTTGTTGCTGTTGTTGTTGGTGTTGCTGTTGTTGTTGTTGCTGTTGCTGCTGTTGCTGCTGTTGCTGCTGCTGTTGTTGTTGCATCTGCTGCTGTTGCTGCTGTTGTTGTTGTTGTTGTTGTTGCTGCTGCTGCTGCTGCTGCTGTTGCTGTTGCTGCTGCTGTTGCTGCTGCTGTTGCTGCGGCGACGGTTGTTGCATGACCGAATGAGTCTGTTGTTGACAGCTGCTGGATGTGGAACTCGAGCTCGAGTCCTGGGAATAAGAGCCGTAATGCGAAAAGCTGGGATTCGAAGTGACGGGCTGAAATTGCGGTTGAAAAGCCGACCTAAAAGTCAAAAGAACATATGTCCAAATTTGTACAGCCAAATAAAGGTAGAATAGCACTGGACAACGAGTTTATCGCTAACATTTATGTTTAAAATCTTAATTATTTATTTATTTATTATTTTAAAAATAGGTTACGCGATTTGAATACTCGTGCGTATTCACGAACGTAGACCAACAATTAACAATATAATTGAGCGCGTAATTGTTCAACGCAACGGACATGAAATACATAATTTTCAATTTAATAAGGTTATTATAGAGTTGAGAAATGGAGTGAAAAAAAGGTCGCGTGCAAAATTTAAACATATAAATAAATAATTATGCCGATGTAAGGGAGTATTAAAGCTTAAATACTTTTTTCCGCAATTCAATGTAAAATAATTCATTGCATGTTTTCTCTCGTCTTGCAAGAAAACAATCTCATTACTTCGATTAAGACAATGTGATCCGAAATCACAAAAAAGAACACCATTATCATTAAGATCGAGTATATATGCAGTAGCATTAAAATATGCAGTGTCCTTTATTATCTTATTATTTCAACGTTGCTCACGTATTCTTCCACTATAGTCGATTATTGAATAATATACACGTATTTATTGTAAAGAGTCATGAAATTTTGCATAAAATGCATCAAAATTAGCATTGGATAATCAAAATCCAATTAAGGCAATGTAATAGTTGTCCAAGAAGTTAAGAGTCCAACAAGTCCAAGAATATTTTCGAAAAGCCAGATTTGAAAACCAAATCATAGGTTCGGTACACTCGAAATGATTATCGATTTTTTAAAAATGAATCGCACCGATGTAATAAGCAGCAACGCTATTGTCATAATGTAGCTTGGCATTGAAATTTTGCGTCGTTGAGTGGCGGATGCTCACCTGGAGGTCGACGGTAGGGCCTGATAGCTCTGGTAATCAGCATAGGGATTCTGATGAAAGGAGGACATTGAGGAAGGCCCTTGCGATCCGTAGTGCTGAAAATTCTGTCCAAAGTCCGCATGGAGCTTCCTCTGCTGTTGTTGGCCCTGATTGTCGGCCTCTCCCATGCAGTCGTCGACCGGGTAGCAGTCGTCCCTGAGGGCATAGAGGTCGAGGTTATCGGGACGCGCGGCGCCTTCCTGGCCGTCGTAGTGGAGACTGGTGAATCCACCGGCGAGACAGTCGGTCGGCGACTCGATAACCGAGGTAAGTGGTACGGCTAGTCGTTCTTGATGATGATGATGATGATGGTGGTGATGGTGATGGTGATGTAGATGATGCTGCTGACTCTCCTGATGCTCCTCGTCACGATGTGGCTTCTTCTCGAGCTCGAGTCGCATAAGCGTATGGATGAAGTGCGTGCGCACCCGAACGGGATTGAACTCTATGCGACCGGTGCTGTTGGCACATCCGTCCCGCGAGCAGCCACACGGGAAGCCGGCTCTGTCCACCTGAGAATGATCCTCTCGTTTAATCATGAGCTCGTTCGAAGCGTGAATAAGAGTGGGGGGTGGGGGGTGGGGGAGACGCACGTTACACTCATAACATCCCGTGGATTCAAAGATCCAGTTGGCGGCAGCCGGTTAGTTGAAAACGGTTGGAGACGAAACGTCAAGTATTTTATGTACAACGTCTATTACGGATGTATCGGTGAGTAGGGATTTGATGACAGGTAAGTCAAAGTTGAGATCGCTCGAACCTTGTGATGATGATACGATGAGCTTTGGAGGGGTAAGAAAAAAATTCCTTGGCTCAAATCGTTCCGATCGCAGCATTGATTCGCGTAGACGGGTCGTTAATTTTTTTAAATTATTTAAATTAATTAGCTTGGCCGTGGGAGCGGGCCGACGAGCCTCTTTCGCCCTCTTATCATACGCAGCTCGAGAGATACATGGAGAGAGATGGGCAACAAGCCGCGTGAGTCTTCTTCAAGGATGACTGCGGAGCAGCTTTGATATATTTATGAAATGCGAATGAAAGTGGGAAGGAGAGCCGTATAATAAAGAAGCATGCGCAGTACGCATCTAATTTGCAAGTTCGTGCCTGTAAATTGGTTGAGAATTTTGATAAACAAGGAGAGTCGTCGATATTGAAAGGGAAGCTGAAGCAGCCAGTGCTCTCGGCTTCGTTGAATTATCCCATCGGCACTTGCCGGATGCGGGAGTGTCGGCACTTGTACACGGATACAATCCGGGGTCTCCTTTCGTACAAGCGGATCCCTCCACCCCACCCCCAACACCACAAACAGCCGACAAATCACACGACTACACGGCTTACCCCTTACTTACCTGGCACTTGACGTTGGCTCTGCTGCAGGGGCAACTCTCCGGGTCGCAGTAGCCTTTGCAGCCGCAGCCGCAGTGCTCCCTGCTGGCTCTAATGTCCCTGCACTCGTCCTTCTCGAGGGCGTCTATCCTGCGGACGCCGGCCGCCCGCAGGAGCGCCCGCCTCTGCCAAGTGGGCACCGGCTGGAGGAAGTAGTAGCTGTCGATGTCGAGCTCCTCGGCGTCGCTCGGCTCGTCATCCGTGTCGTCGCTCGGGTCCTCCGAGCTGGAGGCCGCCTCCGCGGCACAATTGGCCGCCCTCTCGGAGCGTAGCTGAGCGAGTCGGGCCCGGTGAAGTCGACGCTGCTCAGCCGCGTGTTCCGACAGGGAGAAGCGCTCCGCGTGCGTGTGCATCGCGCTCATACCGAGAGTGCTGCCGCCCTGGGGAAGAAAGCATCGGACGGCGGTTAGGGGCTTATTTCGCTTCTGGGCTTACTCTCCATCCCATCTCCGAGGCATCTTCGTTCCAGGCACTATATACACCTCTCTTTCTCACTTCATTAACGATCTAATACCGCTGGCTTTGCCCCGACTCTTGGCACATTTCTTAAATTAAATATAAATCTCTGGGAAATTTTTATAAAGTTGGATATTTTGCATTTAGAAACAAGGCTACGCTTTAATACGACGGGGAAGCGAGACTTTGTATTATTGAGTTAAAAGCTTCTCTCTTTCGCAATATTTCATTTCGCCTAGATATTTTTCTCCATACTATGGGAATAAAAAGTATTATAAACGATGCCAATTTGTTTACTATATCGTACGTCGACCAAAAAAATCACTTCATACATTATATATATATATATATATATATATATATATATATATATATATACATATACTTCTTCTTCTTCTTCTTTAATTCAATTGTTCATGTTAATTTCTGTCGCGCATTAAATGAAAATGTGACTCGCTCGAAATGACGTATTCAGCCGAAGGAAGGCGTAATAGTATTTCCGAGTCAATTAAGTCTGTGGAATAGCTGTCCCACTTTATTCTTTCGTACTGCAATTATTTTTGTAATAGCTACTTCTGCCTGTCGTTAAATAATATAAAAATATTTACTTTTCAAAAACTTTTTTCCAAATGCGTTTTTATACAATTTCTTTTCAATTTATATGATTTGATTTTAAGCTCAATGTTTTAATTCCCAATTCTATTATGCTAGGTATAGCAATTTTAAATTTTAATTCGATTACTTTGAAAGTAGAGAGATATTTGTTTTTTTCTTTTTTTCTTTTTTTCTGAAATAAAATAAAAATAAAGTACAAATTTTCGACTCACAGAATAGCAGGGAATCCCCATGCTTTCATGTACTTCCATTTGAATATTTTTGGTTACTGTAACTAATTTCATCTAAATAACTAAAGCAGACATTTCATTTTGTTCGTGCATTTAAATGCTAAATTATAAAATGAAAATGGGTTATAATAAATTTCCAAATTCTATTGTACAATTTAAATATTGCAATAGAAATTTCGAAGAAAATTTTAAAGCAAAACTGAATACTCGGAAAAAAAAAATGAGGAACAAGAAGCGCATGAAATATTCTATTATATATATATATATATTCGTTCTTTATAACAGTAGATGCAGCGCTTAAAATTAGTGGAATATGCTTGAAACGTCTTTGAATTGCAAATAGAAAGAGAATATAAGAAGAGAGAAGAAATTAATCACGTTAAAATATTATAATAATTCTTTACTGGTATGTTAAACTGAAATGTTTCTCCCACCGCAATTATCGCGATAAATGACATTGTAATTGTACGGTGTAGGAAAAGTGAGAGCTTTGGGCAACGAGCCCTAAGTCACTTTCACTGAAAAATCTATGTACGCGATGAAAGAAGCGCGCGTGCAAGGGAGTCGGAGCACATTAAGGGGTTCCATCGCACTTCACAGATTTCACGTTCGTGAGGAAAGAAACGACGAGTCCTTACCTGTGAAGGCACGCAGGTGAAGCCTTGAGCCCTGGGAAAGTAATAGACCGTGACTGCGTCGAACTGTATATTGCGTTTCTTCTTAGCCATCGCCGGGAATTCGGCTGTCGAGGATGCTGCCGTTGCCTCGTCAACGCCGAGCCTCTTAGGACCCGAGTGATCCTCGCCCTCCTCCATGCAGTCTGCCATTCTGCGCTTAAGGCTGCTCTTCGAGGGCGCTCGGAAATTCGGAAGTGTTGGCGTTTTTAACTCGGCCTCCACGAAGGAATCCACGTCGTTCTCAGCTGCGAGCAAACCCACATATATTACGTCCATTGCTATGATACCGTTTATCTCGGGGGATTGATGTCGCCTCCTGTGCAAAACCATTATCCAGGCCGTCGCTTTTCTTTCCCAATCTCTTTTGACCTCGTTTCTTTTTTCTTCATCTTTTTTGTTACTTTTTTTTCTCAATTTCTTTTTCGTTCTTTTCTTTCTTTTCTTTCATTCTTTTTTTTTTTTTTTTTTTTTTTTTTTTTTTTTTTTTTTTTTTTTTTATTATCAATGGATAAAGAAAATTTCAAGTACGTCGGTCCCCCAGATGCATGAATTTTCATTTATTAATTAGGAAACTGATGGAGACCGAACGTGAACATTGCTTCATTTATGTAAAATCAAGCGTCATTTATACGAAAATAATTTCAAATTAAGATGACAACAGGGATTCAAAAAGAGAAAAATTTATAAATTTATTTATTTATTTATTTATTCATTTATTTATGAAGCTTTTTGAGTTCAAAGTGAAAATTATACTTGATAATGTTTCGACAAATACGTATAATAGTGCGAGTGGTTTTACATTTAATATATTAGGAGACGAGCGCGAGCGCGCGCATACACAAAAAGTAAAATAGTTCCTATCAAGATATTACGTTAAGCAAATACCAGTGATTATTGAATAAACTTATCTGATTAAAGTTGCTTAAAAAAATATGTGTAATTTTACGAAAATTAAATAAAATTCATGAGCTTTTGAATGTAGATCCAATAACATTACCAACGATATTAAATATTTTGCTTCGTATTTTTCATTAAATTATATCAATGTGTATATATATATATATATATATATATATATATATATATATAGAATCATTATTGAATATATTAAAAAGTATGGTAAATCCATAAAAGATGAATAATTAATCGTTATTGGTAGAAAAGCAAGTTTATTGTTTTTTCATATTTATTTAAAATTATACAAAGACGTTTTCGTAATAAAGAGTACATTGACACTATTCTCAGAAAATACTTATTGTCTTTTTCATTTTCATTGAATTTTTTTTTATTCCCCTGTATATATTTTTCTATTAGAAAATAAAATTAGATATTAATAGACAACACGGACAGAATGGGAAATACAACGAATTAGAGTGGGGCTATCTCGCGCTCACTAATCGATGGAAGAAAAATTGATTATTCTAGCGCCTACGCGCAGTACTGGCTAATTTTTCCACTTCGCATCATACAATAAGTGCTTATATTATTGTATCGAAATAATTTACATGAAATATACATGTATATCAGTGGAAATACTGAATTATTAATAATAATATGTTATACAATTGATGTAGGACAATTATATAATTCAGTATATTTTCGTAAAGTAATAATAATTATCAACGGACATAACGAATAGAACAAAGTTTAATAAGCTTAACCTTTTATTCAAGTTCTAGAAGACTTGTAATTACGTGTTACTTGTACAAGTACATAACCGATTAGTATCCAAAGTCCAATTCACAATTTATTCAATTTAATCGATCGGCTTTCTATCATTATTATAATTATTTTCCAATAAAATTTATCGATACGCGAGAAAGTATGGAAAAGCGTTAGCTTCCAAAAGTTATCAAATTTAGATTATCAGTAGTTTTTTCCAATTGAGCTGCTAATCAAACGATACACGCGACAGACGACATGTTTGTGGCTGATGTCTTGTCAGATGATTGCCAAGATTTTCGAAAGTTAATATATCGCGCATAGGCGAGATGATGAGTGAGGTAGTGAAAGTCGTTAGCTCATCGTACGCGTACTTCATTATCTTTCATAATCGGTCGTTCGTAATCGATGCTTAAAAAGCCGAACGACGATGTGAAAAATGAATAACCAACTGATTAGACCGTGTGACTGATAGAGAACCTTGACGTAACATCTACGTGCTGGACCATAATGTTACCACGGAGATACCAGCTGAAATCCCATAAAACTCACCTTTGTCCTTATCGGAGAGAATGTCGTCTGGTATCCTGTCGAGAAAGGAGGTCTCGGAGTCGCTCTCGGGAGCTGGTGCTGGACAGGCGTCCCCGGGCATCTCACTGCCGAGGCCGGAGTCACTGCCGTCGGAGCGAACTTCGTCCCGAACTCCGGCGGCAAGGGCGAGGCTCTCGGCGGAGTCGTCGGTAAAGGCCTCGGGCCGCTCCTGTCCGAGTCTCGTGGCGATGACCTGGCCAAGGGCTTCCTCGCAACCGACGGTGACTGGGGCCATCGAGGCTAGGACCTCGGAACTGTCAGAAGCGGTCTCGACCTCCTCCGCGTCGGCGAACACAGCCGAGGGCGAACTCGGCCGACAGCCCGGGAACTCGACCTCGCTGCCGATGCGCAGCTTCTTGGCGATGGCCTTGGAGCTAGCTAGGCTTCCGTCGAGGAGGCCGACGCGAGCGCTGCCCTCGAGGTCGTAAGAGCCGTCGAGCGACTCGGACTCGTTCGGCGAGCCAAGCCCGAGCTCCATCGGCTTGACCTGGTCGATCCGCGAAAGCCGTAGCACGAGATCGCGTTGGCTTTTCACCGAGTTGCCGACCTCACCCCCATCCGACGCGTTCGGTTTCCTCCGGCTGTCGGACGTCAGAGATATCTCGCCGAGGGTGCGCTCGCGTAGGCTGACGTGCACCGGTGACAAGCGCTTCACGTCGTTGCGCAACTGCTGGGCCTTCTCCTCGGAGACCTCGCTGCCGATCGGCTGGAAGTCCGAGGCTGTGCTGGCCGACAGTATCGGCCTCCTCCTCGGCGATGGTATCACGGGGCTGAGGCTGGGGCTGAGGTTAGGGCTAGGCGGACCGAGGCTGGGACTGGGACTGGGACTTGAGCGTGGGCTCGAGCTGGAAAACGTGGCCACTCCGACTCGCGACGTCTCCGAATCCTGGGATGTTTTTGAATTGTCGGCGGCATGTAACCTGTCGGATTGCCAAAGGGGGCCAAATTCCAAGGTCATTATTCCTGTCTCCTGTCAATTGCCCCTATCCTCCTCCCCCCCCCGCCCACTTCTCGGTTTTAAAAACTATCGATTAACATTAGAATTGTGTTTATGACGCAAAGAGCTTGATGTTGGAAGGGATTATTGATCTACTTGAAGCGCTCAAACTACTGGTTTATAGCCCAGTCGCAGTGTCGGCGCTTTTCGATGGTTAGGTTCGTCGCTTGCCGAGACCCATTTTGTTAAGACTAAGTGGTAACGGAAGAGGACGAAGTGCTTTGTAAAATTGAATTATTTTATGTAGAGTCGAGACTGTAAAAGGCAATTAATTGAAGGCGCGCCATACACGATGTTGCTTAATATATCCTGACGATCGAGGCGTCAGGAGCGCTATGTCAATTAAATATCTGCGCCTAGTTGAGCGCAATGTATAAATTCTCAAGCGATACGATAATTAATCTACGTAAGTTTACGAATCCGACGTCGTGACACTGAGACAAACGACAACAATAATAACAATAGTAAGCGTAAGATGCTTGCAGAAATAATGCGCGATGAGAAACTTCTCGTGGGAACAGTTGTACTCTAATCATACTCTTTCCGACTCTAATCATTACGACTCTTACGACACGCGACGTATCATCTTAAAAGTTATAGATCTATTTTATGTATCTTTTGATTACAAATGATTGGCTTATTAATTCATGCTTTTTTTTTTCTTGTTTGTTTTTCAATATCAAGTTCTGATTCTATAGCTCAAATCCTTGACAAACGGTGTATATTAATTGATGCGTATCATGATTATAATGTGCAACGGCCCCCGTGTTACATCCTAAAAATGCGAGATTACGTTTTATTGAAGATAAAGCAAGTGATTTCGGCGGTGTTAAGTAGACTCGCGCGTGAATTTAGCACCCCAAGTGGCATCGATCGATTTTACACAGCGGGTGACATTGACGTAAAAAATTACTTTTCTCCTCTCGTCATTGTGAAAATCACGTGCGTATCTAAGCAATGTGTCTCATTTCTTTTACACACCGATTGCCGAACCCATCCATTTTATTACTAAAAATTAAATTAATTATCGACTAAATTCCAAGATCCTTAGAAGTATTCTCCTTAGCTCGTGTGT